TGTTGCTATAAACAGTGGTTCGAACAGTCTTAGTGTTCTCCTCAACGCAGGTAATGGTACGTTTCGGAGTCAAACTACTTACTCTGTTGGTACGAACCCAACCGCATTGACCGTCGTTGATATGAATGGTGACAATAAACCCGATATTATTGTTACAAACGCTGATTCAGACAATCTCAGTATTCTTCTTAACACAGGCAATGGTATCTTTTTGAATCAAACTACTTACTTAGTTGGCTCTCGTCCATACTCAGTAGTAGTGGTCGATGTCAATAGTGACAGTAAACCCGATATTGTTGTAACAAACCTTAATTCGGCCAGTATCAGTGTTCTCTTACATTGTTAAAGCTTATCGATCAACAAAATTGTACTTATTAATTGACATTTTATTATTCTACTAAGAATATATTCTTATAAAACATGAAATTCTATCAACTATCATTTACGCTCGCTTTATATGAAGAATTTCCACAGAACTTTGCAACTATGTATATCGATGTGAAATACATCGATATTCATATATCAGACAGAAATTCATTAATCAATAATGACGTTAATTCTAGTGATATACTTTTTTGAATGCATAAAACTAAATGTATTATGATTACCGAGACTTCACAATGCACAAAAGTTTCATTGACTTAAAATATATCTTTGAACTGTCGATAATAATATTATAAACGACGAATAAAATCTGACATTGAAAAATAAATAAATCGACAGTACCCACGATCTAGAAATTGGTAGTTTACGGACTTCAAAACATTTATCGAACTTAAAGTTCTATTATTCGAAACTGTCATGAAAATCGATGGAGTGTGGATGTAAATGTAAGCAACTAATGCACAGAAAATCTGAACTGACATCCACCTGTCTACACTCACACCCATATTTCTGTTATTTCATCACATGTATTTGATTAGCTTGATTACTTTAAATTAGAAATTTCCAGGTGGTGAAGATATCTCAAATGCTTTATTAGATAATAAAGATAAAACTTTATTTGCAAACGAGGGATCAAGCATGTACCAGTGGTAGACGTAGGATTTTTATGTCAAGGGACGATTTTAGGTGTGAGTGTGAGTGCGAAGGATGGATAGAATACCCACACCCACACTGATTTCTGAAAAACTGATTAATATATATTTTCTCTGCATTAATAGTTATAATGAATAGAAAGATCTGAACAATTTTAATATATTCTATATTTAATGCATGAAAATGGTGTTTTTTTGTGAGGAATTTCGATAATTGCTGAAAGATTGATGACGTCTTTGATGGAGATAGTATGAGAAATTATTTAAACTCAGATTAAATAGAACTATCAAATCGTGTTAAACTTCTGGGTTAAGAAGTCCGATAAAAGTCGTATAATTTTTTCAATCTTCAATCGTAGAAAAAGGAATTAAAATCAGATTTGTTTTTTATTAGTTTACATAAATAGCTCGAATCTTCTTTGGATTAATTAGAGGCTTTTAGTAGAAATGACTTGAAGTGTTATATATATATGTTTACATTTTTTTCTTTTCTTGCACATGGTATGACATTTGAATTGAACATAAGTATGGTGCTCTTCTTTTTATTCATTTCTCTTCAATTACAAGACCTTTTTGTAACTGAATTGATTGAGTGAGAAGATGAGAATTATCTTTATTCGCTAACTAAATTTATTTTTGGAAAAAACTAGCTAATTATGAAATAAAAAAATTAGGAGAAGAAAGACGATGATCTAAATGCATCCTTCTTACTTCTTGTCAAAGTGGATGAAAACAAAGAAGATGATGTAATACATCTTCTTTCTAACTGTGCAAGAAGTAAATACAAATGTAGAAGAAAAAAAGAATAATACGGATGTTGTTAGAATGCTCTCTAACATTTATACATTGGATATTGAATCAGTTCAAAGAAAAAGGGCAAAAGTCTTGATTTAGCAACAGCAAACCTTGGCGCATGATCTTTTGACGGTGACAGTTTTCTTTCTGATGACTTTGCAACATGGTTTGCAGCAGCATACAGTTTTAGTTACACAACATTTTGGGCCGCAGCAACATGAACAACAGCATGGATCACAGCAAGAGCAACAGCAAGGATCACAACAGCATAGATCACAGCATGAACCACAACCGCAACCGCAACCGCAACCGCAACCGCAACCACAACCACAACCACAACCACAACCACAGCCTGGCATATTAATAGTAATAATGTAGTGTAGAATAAAACTAGAGTAAGATGAGAATTGGTTTGTGAAATTATGAGAAAATGTGTGTATATATATATAGAGGCAGATAAATGAAGAAAGTTGTTTACAATCGACAAAAACAATTCATTACTGTCCTCATATGACAATACCTAACATGAACATGTGATACAGAAATAAGTAACGCTTTGTTACTATTCATACAATACATGAAACATCAACTACTATTGCGTAACATTTTTCACTCATGCAATACAACAAAAACATGAAATTCACGCTTGATTACAAATGTTTTCCTTTTGATTTGTTTCATAGTGTCAAAAACACCTAAATTTAATTACACGTTCACCTTGTGACTACAACTCTAAAAGGGTAATGTCATTTGATACAATTTTTCATAAAAACAGTGCTAATAAAAAAGAAAAAAACTAAATGTTTTTGATGAAAAATATTGAGTCTCATGTTCTAGTATACACACACTATAATATCATCAAATTGCGTCAATATCATAACACAACACAAAAGAAAGCATTGAAAAAATGATTTAGTATATGGGTGTGGGTGTCTATCATCTCATAACCCACCCTCAAGTTTATTCCATACAAGAACAACTATACCAAATATCAATAATTTTGTCTTTAATACATAATAATGAATGATTGTAAAAATGATTTTTATTATTACTTGTTTTACTAGCAGATTTATATGATTGATAAAAGTTAACACTTGAATAAATATTACTATTCAAACTTTGATTATTTTCAACATTAGGTGTTTGTAATACTAATTTGAGATCTCAAAATGGTTGTGACACATCCAATCGTAAAGTTAAAATGTGTCGAAAACTATTTTTAGCTAAATTAAGGCAACTATACGCCCATGTAACTATTAATGGTACAATTACATAGATAATGTCGGTACTAGTTTGGACATGAACTCTATCTTATAACACTTATTGTTCATCAGAAAATAGGAATTTATTGAAAAGTGTCTGAGAATGACTCACTTGTTTGAAATGAAATTTTCAGTTAATTCTTAACATAGATGTACTCACCTACTCTACAAATATCACATAAATCCGATAGATTAATTGAGCAAGCATCTAACAAATATAAGTATTAAATATTTTATGTTGACAGTTGACAACGAGCACTTCATTGCTTCATTAGTTATTCGATATGACGCAATGGAGAAAGTAATGAGCGTTTTTTTCTGTTCTCTAACACGTGTATACATGCTTCACTAATTTTTTTTGTTTTTTATCATATTAACAAGCCGTTTATTTACCGTTTGCACACCATATCATATAGTAAGTATGTTTTGGGTAAACTAGTATATTATATAAATCGATAATATAAGAGAAGAATAGTTATACCCAAGTTAGATTAATAAATAACACATTAGCTGTTTTTTTTCTATGGAAATTTATTTAAACTAAATATAGAGACTAAAATGATAGAATCTTTGTAATGCCCAAAAATAAAACATATTAATTCGATAGTTCATAAATGAAAGACTGTTTGGCTATTAATGTACGAAAATTGTCCAAATCAAAGTGAAATAGTTAGACGAAATATTTTATTTTATGTAGTAAGCTATATATCTGTAGAGACTAGAAAAAATGATTAATATGTCTTTTCAGTTGAAATCTATATTCAAAAATCAATACCTTATCTATTCGATCGATTTTGTTTTTATTATTCTGAATTAATCTTAATGATATTCATTTTAGTATATTTATTTGTTCATTTACGTTAGCTTTCAGTTATGACAGATACGAGTAAGACACGTCTTTATTTATATTATTTTGTGTTATTGACGTTAAGTCTTGCATTATTCTATTGTTTTCATCGTATGACGATCAAACATCCAGAAGATTATATGTACATGGAAAAATGTGTCTTATGCATTATCTCAAGTTTCTTTAATATATTTGTGCTTTTCTATCATTGTACTCATGCTCCACATCCAAAATATCTTATCTTAGCGCAACGTCGATTTGTAATTTATATACATATTCTTTCAGGATTATTGGAATTTCTAACATGTTGGATCGCATTTTGTACTGGTAGTGAACGTATTGCTACTATTGCAGCCATAATAGCCATAGTAGCTCATGTTCCTTCGGCTTATTATCAGACATCGATTGCGTTTGGTGCCAAAGCTATTATGGTTGCTGGTTATTTATTTGCAATAAATATTCATCTTTTCTGTGCATTGCATTTATTTTTCAATCCAAGTTCGTCTTATTGGCTGCTCAATATGTTTCTCGTTCATAATATTTATGTATGGTGTCGAGTATTGTACGCCTTTTTTGATTTTCTCGGTTTATTTAAAGACAGTCTATATACTAATTCAGTTGTAATAGCAAGTCTCATTTTAATTCCTGCTGTACTTGGTGTCTCAGCCAACATGTTATTTCTTGGTTATGTAGTGAGTAGTATTCTTCTCTACTTAATCATCGTTCGACCAAATAAAATCGACCGTACATATTATGTAGGCGAACGTACACGTAATCTTCTTGTCAATAAAGATGTTCATAATAATTGGTTTAAAGAAACAGCTCGTCTCGTACGCATGAATAAAGACAATGAACTTAGTGATCAGCAGCAAGCTAAGCTTGTTTTTGATCTTCTTGATGAAGATAAAAATGGATATATTGATGGTGAAGAAATAAATCGTCTTTTGAAAGAATGGCAAACAGAAGAAAATTTTAGGAATCGATTCTTTCGTTGGACAAAAAATGGACAGATCTCATACGAGAACTTTTACAAAAATATTTGGCGTTTAGGTGAAACTTCTATTGGACATTTTCAAGAAAGACAAAATAAAGAAGGAAGAGCAAGAGCACGTTTTATCTTTGATTGTTTGGATAATGATTTCAATGGATATCTTGATTCAATTGAAATACAAAAATTATTAATTCAATGGGGTTTACCTGATAATGAAGTTGACGCATATCTTGCCAATGATGACGATAAACAATTTTCATTTGATGAATTTTATCACAATCTCAAACCAGTTTGGAATTTTGCATATGAAAATATGACACTAAAGGATACTGATGAAGTGTTAAAACCAGTACATGATCATTCAAGCTAAATAATATTATATTTCAAAGAAAAACTGAATATTTGATTAACAAATCATTTATTTTATAAAATTTTTAATTTTTTCAAATAAAATCTATCTATTTATATCATAAATCTAAATTCCTCTCAATGACATAACTGGTTACTTTGAAGATAATCAGAAGTTATTCAATGAAGAAAATAGATTAATCAAGAACTCTTTTTTCCAACTATATCCGCTTAAAATAGTTTTAATCATCTAGCATTGTTGATATTATGAATAACGTTGTCTCTTGTGTATTTATTATAAATAAATTCATATTTTTCTAAAGAATATCATGTCAACGGAAACAAATGTTGTCTTCATTGTAAAATATTTTAAAAAGTAAAATGATATTTACATATTAAAAAATGTCTAATTAAATTTCGAGAAAAAGATACGTAGAATAAATAATTATAAGACAAAACCAGGTATCAAATTTTGTCTGAAACAGATTTTTGAGAAAAATGTTTTTGACGTTTTTTAATTCTATAAAACAGAATATCAACTACACTAGAAGGACAAACGTTGTTTGACATTTTTCTTCAGATATTCTCTCATAGAATACTTTTACAGTACAACTCAGATATAGTGAATACTATCTTAATTATTAGAAAGAGAATCATTACTTTTTTTTTTCTTTAAACATCAGATTACAACGACACATTTCTGTAACACTCGTCGACATATAAAAGTGCACTAGCAAGAAATCATTCAAATATAAAATCTCCCTACCAAAAAAAAGTAAATTTCTTTTTTAAACAATATATTTTTTTTATAGATATTCTAACGATGTCTTCAGCAACAAATTATATTTTATTTTTAAAATCAATAACGAAATATTTATATCAAATAGGTGGTCCAATTCTAATGTGTGTTGGTAGTATTAGTTGTATATTAAGTTTAATTGTATTTACGAAAAAAGCTCTACGAAAAAATCCATGTTCAATTTATTTTATTTCATATAATATTGCTAATTTTATCTTAATGTATTCATCAATATTTACAGTAACATTATCAGCTGGTTATGGTGTTTCTCCGTCTACATATAATTTAGCTTTTTGTCGTTACAATTTATACATGGCAATTTTAATCGATATTCTTAGTTCATCTTATTTAGTTTTAGCTTCTATTGATCGAATGTTAGTTACTTCAGTTAATGTTAGAGTAAGACAACGAAGTACTCGTCGTATTGCATATATAAGTATCATTAGTATAACAATATTTTGGATATTATTTCATAGTCATATATTATTTTCAGCAGCTATAATACAAGCTGCACCAAATACTTTTGTTTGTAATTTACCGCCTGGACCAGATTTAATATTACATTCCTATTATTCACTTATAGTCAAAGCAATTTTAATACCTTTATTAATGATTATATTCGGTGTAGTAGCCTTGAAAAATATTCGAAGATTACGATCTGTTGCAGCTGCTCCTGTTTTAACAAATACTGGAACAACTGTAAAAAATCAATCACAATCTAGTCATGCAAAAGATCGTCAATTTTGTTTAATGTTATTTATTGATATAACTGCATATATTATTTTCAGTTCGATGTTATCTGCAATCAATATGTATCAACAAATTACTCAATATAATGTAAAGAGTTCATCACAAACACAATTTGAACTGTTTTTGAAAACTACCGCTGTTTTTATTAATTATATTTCAATTTGTATTGGATGTTATACAAATATTTATATATCAAAAACTTTTCGTAATAATATTAAAGATATTATTTTATGTAGATGAATACTTGCATTTTTCTAATAATGTTGTTTAACAACAAACTATTTTGGAAAATTATCACACTTATTGGAAGTATTTTAATATTGTAAAACTTTGTTTGTCTTATTGTTTAATAATAAATTTATAATATATATTTATATCTACAAAGAATCAGGAAGTCGCCGAAATCATAGTCTCTTGCTTTCTTCAAACATTGTGAAGAGATAAGAGAAAAATATTCTTCGACCCAGTCCTGATGGTTTCTATTGACAGCTAGTGGCGTAACCACACTGAGGCCAGATGGGGCTTAACCCCATCACCCGAATTTTTTAGTTACTGAACTTGTCAATCAAAAAGTCCAATAGACTACCCATGTAAAAACAACTACAAAAATATGATTAAAATCGATTTTTTGAGAAAAATCAAGAAAATCTGACTAAAGCTGGCCAAAAAATCGTTTTTAATCGATAATATAAGATCTGATCGATTAAAACTGATTAAACCGTGACACATAATAGATTTTAATAGATTCCTCCGATGAAAACCGATTTTCATCGATTGAATTCTTATAAAAATAGATTCTAACAAATTTCTGCGATGAAATCGATTTAAATCGATGAATTCTCAGCAGATAACATATTTCAATAGTTTTTCCTAACAAAAAAACTAATTTTAACCGTCATGAAGAAAAAACGTGTTTTTCTCTAGTTTCCAACTATCGGCCAGACTTTTCGACCTTGTTTTCAGAATCCTTGCATCGACAAATAGTAAGTGCAATGGTAGAGCAATCTGTGATACTCTTATCATATTTCTAGGTACGATATAGCTCGATATTCACTCAATTATGCAAGAATATTGATGGTCCTAATACAAACGAATTATTTTGGAATAATTCATGAAAATCGATTTTTCATCATCGAAAAGTCGATGCAAATCGGATTTTTTACGTTTGTTTTTACATGGGATAGACAGTTTTGGGGCTGAGCCCCATCATCCATAAATTTCTGGTTACGCCACTAATACAGCAAGAAGATCGTATGATTTCGATATGTCTTGTTCGAAACTTTGCTTAACAGAAATGAAAAAAGAACATCCACGTGTTGCCTTACAGTTAATAGCTTCTTATCCAAATATTTACAAAAAAGAAAAGATAAGATCTGAAATGCAGTAATAACGTCTGTAGACATTCAAATCAGTAAATATTTTGCATCAAAGTATCTCGATATTACCTTCTATTTAATATTATTATATAAATACATCGAACAAGTTTGTTTTCATTGTAAAATGTTGGCTCCTCAAGACCAGGCCTCAACTGCAGAAGCGCGAACTCTCGTGCGAGTAAATAACAAAAATATTTTGTGAGAAATGAAAATATGTTTTTTTTTCGTCGGTTATTCAAGCCTATACATGTATGGCTTGATCAAAATGTCAATACGGACGAAAGTAATCGTATTATGAAAGAAAAATTCAAAGGATCAGTCCATCGATTTGAAGCGTTCGACAGTATTGATCAATGTGAAAGATTCATTGAACGTTGGAGTAGTCGTAATATTGTGTTCATAGTTTCTGGTTCTTTAGGAAGAGAAATTCTTCCACGAATTCATTCGTTACCTCAATTATTGAAATGTTATGTATATTGTGGAAATAAACAAGCGAATGAACAATGGGCTCAACAATATTTTAAAGTTAATTTCTAGAAAATCGAATTCAAAAAGTTTTGTTTTAATTTCTATTTGTTTTAGATCAAAGGTGTTTTCGATTCATCTGCTGATCTTATCAAAGTCATTGCGCCTTATCATTGTTGAAATTTTCATTATTGATTTATATGTACGCTAAAGAAAGTTCTAAATTTTATCGTTTTCATTATAAATATTTCCTCCCCTGTTTAGAACATTCCTGATCTTATAGTTTATCCTTGCATGTCAACTGCTGAAAGGGGTCTTTTATTTAGGAGAATCTTGTAAACTGTTCTTTATTCGTGATGACAAATAAAAAAAAAGAATTCCAATGCTCACTATTTTATTATTTTAATTTTATAAAACAAAATAAATAAAAATATACAATATTAAAAAATTAATCTTTATTTTTTCACATATAGTTAATCGTAGTTGGGTGTTGGTGTTCTTTTAGGGATATTTATACCCACACAATCCACACCCCACACCAAAATTAATAAAAGAAAAAGAATAAAGACAATGAATTCAAAAGTACAATTTTAAAACATAGAAAAGAAACATAACAGATGATATTTTATTACAATATATAATTAGTATTAGAGATTAGTTTAGATAAGAATAAATAAGAAGTTACATCGTTATTTTTTACATATGTTTTGAAAAACAATCACATTGTTGGATTTGCCATTTGTTACAACTAGATCAAGTTTGCCATCATTGTTCCAATCGCCTGACAACACATTGTCTGGATAACTATTAGTTTTATATGTTGCTCGAGATGCAAAAACTCCATTTGTATCACCAAATAACACAGTAATAGTATTACTTCCACTATTTGCTACTACTAAATCGATATTTCCATCGTGATTGAAATCAGCTGCTGATATAGATTGCGGAGTTTTATCAACGTTATAGAACACTGCACTGCTAAAAGCTGCCTTGCCGTTATTAATCAGTATACTGACAGTATTTTGACCACTATTAACCACTGCTAAATCAATATTTCCATCCTTATTAAAATCACCAATTGCCATAGAAACTGGAGATCTTCCAGTGGTATAGTCCATTTTAGCACCAAAGATTCCGTTGCCATTATTGAGCAACACACTAACGGTACTATTTCCTTGATTGCTCACTGCTAAATCTGGCTTTTTATCATTATTAAAATCAGCTGATAGTATAAACGATGGTGTTGCACCAACTGCGTAGTTCATGGCAGTTCCAAACGTCATATTTCCATTATTAAATAGTACACTGATGCTGCTATTGTAGATATACGCTACTACCAAATCAGATCTGTTATCACTATTTAAATCAACTGCTATAACACCAATCGGATTTTGACCAATCGTATAAGTTTTAGAAGTTTGAAATGTTCCGTCACCCTTATTAATTAGTATCCCAAGAGTGTTGTCATGTTGATTAGTCATTACTAGATCCTGTTTGTTATCGTTATT